CTAACAGTTGCTGCTTTGGCTTACCCAAACCTTTGAAAGAAACTTTCAGTCCTATGAAATGGACTTTTCTGTCTGGTGTACACCTGTGTCATTTTCCAGCTGTCTTATCTGAACAGTTCTGTAGTGAAGGTCATTTAAAACTTGACTGATAGTCCTCTGTACTTTTCGGCCACCGTCTTCAGTCATCTTGTGACTATGCAAGGGGTGACATCTTGTATATGGTATAAGGGTCTGTTTATCAGGTATAAGGTTACATTTCAGTAGTTTCCTGAACTTCTTTTTCCACTGTGCATTGGCACTAATGTTAGGACAAAGGATGAATGATACAAAAGGCTTCTTAAATTACTAAGGCTTCTTAAATTAATTCCCTAATGTGCATGTAGTTTGGAGTGCTTGTAAAACATTGCACGTTAAAATACAGAAACCAGAGCACACTTTCTGAAAGAGACAATGCACCTGCATTCATAGCACAAGTTGTATGTACATTCATTAAGTAAAAGTAACACAAGTCAGGCTAACATCTTCTAAGGAAGTGTTAAAATAATAGATTTTTAAGTATATCTGCGAATCGGAAAAAAGAGCTTTTGCTGAGAATTAAGGTTGAATGGCATAAAACTATTATTAGAAACCCGTTCCTAATGGAATTGAATTCTGAAGATCACGTAGGTATAACGGAGCTTGCATTGAGAAAGCAGAATACACTTGCTAGTACAGACTCAAGACTGACTCCTGTTTTTTGGATATTCAAAGGATTTTAACTGCAAATGTAAAATTCTAGTTTAGACATGTGATACATTTTCATATCCATATATTTTATTAATGTAGTATTTCACTCTGGATTTTGTGAAATAAGATCACTTTATTGGCCATGCACAATTTTTTGTATTAGGGATTTGTTTTTTCACATACCCCAACTTGCTTTCCATGAGACACAAAGACAGGGATTGGGGTCAGAGCTCAGGGTCAGCCATTTTTACGGCGCCCCTGGAGCAGTTGGGGTTAAGGGCCTTAACGGAGTAGGATTCCTCTGCTGGCCACGGGATACACACCGGCAACCTTCCAACCTCAGGTGCAGATCCTTAGCCACAGACCCACCACACCACCCCAACGTTATTCAGCTCCAGCATCTACCAGCATTATCCACCTATGAGAATTAAAAGCATTTGTATGCTAATTGGCAGTATGGCTTCATCAGCTGGTCTTTCTTTTCTTTCAGGCCCTGTAGATGAGTACATGTTGCCGTTTGAAGAGGAGATTGGGCAACACCCGTCCCTGGAAGATTTGCAGGAAGTGGTTGTCCACAAAAAGATGAGGCCCACTTTCAAGGACTGCTGGCTCAAACATTCTGTGAGTGTCCTCATTATACTTCTGATTTGACACTTAGTTTCCATACCTGTGTGATGTGGCATGGATAGTGAAATATGAAAATATTAAAAAATAAGTCTTTTTTTTTAGCTGAAATCCAATAAATGGCATTGCAATGAAATCCAGCAAAAAAATCATTCATACCATTATCTTCATTTTTAAAAACATTAAAACCAAATTCCCTAATTCGTGAATTATTTTTTGGGAGGTAAGAGTAGTCCCATGGGTTGGAGCAGAGGCAGGGAATTTCCTTAGAAATCTCACTGTGCATGTGAAGGTCCTAATTCTTCATGGTAATTTGAATGGCCAGTGTATGCCTTTAGATATGCATGTATTCATTGGCCAGGTGCTTTTATCCAAGACCTATAATCACTTATGGCCAAGATGCAAAGGATATTAGTAAGCATCGATCTATTAAAGACTAAATTAGATCATGTGAATGAATTTGTGAGGCACATTCTGCATGCTGATGTTGACATACTCTTCTCTGTGATCTGTAATGTATTATTCATGGTTACAGCAACTTTGCTGCAGAAGTTGCTATGGTTTTGGAAGCTGGTAGAGAGAAATACACACCTTGCAAAGCTCTTGGGCAATTCTGTGAAATGTCAAGCATAGAGAACTGTGCCTAATTATGGACTGGTATGTTCACCGTAGAATAACTAAAACTGTTGCAGGTTGAGCTTTGCTCACTCTAGGCTCACTTAAGGCAGCTAAGGCATATTACAGACTGATCTGTAAATACTTTGGATTTTAGAACACTGCAGCATATCAATGATTAAAATGAGAATTTGCTGTAAAAATACACTGGTTTTATTAACTTTGGGAGAGCCTGAATTTCACAGTGCAGCCATAAAAAAGTAGTTAAATGTGAAATTTCCAAAGGACTGGTGAAAACAGATTTAATAGAGCCCTAACCGATGGTGTAAGAGGCCGTGATGATGAATTTAATTTTCTTCTGTTCTAAAGGGTTTGGCACAGCTGTGCGAGACAATAGAGGAATGCTGGGACCACGATGCAGAGGCCCGTCTGTCGGCAGGGTGCGTTGAGGAGCGCATCTCGCAAATTCGCAGACTGACAAACGGCACTACCTCGGACTGCCTGGTCTCCATGGTGACCTCTGTCACCAATGTGGACTTGCCACCCAAAGAGTCCAGTATCTGAGTCCATCAAACCCTTGTCTTTCCAGACTCAGTGGATTTCAGAAAACAGTGGAAAAAAAACATGAATGCAGCTGCTATTTTATCCTGACTTTTTTATTAATTATTATTTTTGATTGGATCAATATTACCAGCACACTTCTCTACTGTATTTTTTTGAGAGGAAAAAAGCTAAAACGGACATCTCAAGCGCATTCAGGTGCCGACTTATGAATGCTGAAAAAGGTGCAGGTACCTCAACTGTTTCATTTCATTTTTTTACTCAAGTTTTTCTTTTTTCCTGTCCTTTAGACAGGACTGTCTGTGACAAATAAACCATCTAACCATTTTGGACAATATAACAATGCTGCAAAACCCTGGAGGAAACTTAAGACTGTTACATACAATTTACCTTCCTCGAGGGATTATTTTTTCTTTTACACTTATTTTTCTTTTTGCTGAAAGTGAGTGCTTAACAAAATAACGGTAAACGTGTCTTTTACGGAACTAACGGGTGTCACTAGAACACGTAAAAAAAGTGGAAGGCAACAGGACTAATTGTTTTTCTTTGTTTCTTAAGAGACTGGTGTCTATGAGGGGTTCGTTAAGCATATTTAAGAGGGGGTAAAAGGAAAAAAAGGATAAGAGAATATGGCAAAATTGAGATTTGAGCTTTGCAGCATCTGGACAAAACATTTTGTTAGGTACGGAACTACTTCTCAGGTAACCGGTCTCATCGGGCAGAGCTTTTGAGGCGGGGTGTCGTCAACAGCAACCAATTACGTAAGGAGAGAGCCAGAACATCCACTCATGGACAGGGATGATGATGATGGTTGGGTGGGGGGAGGGGTTCACTAGGCATCATTTAAAAAATGGCCAATGCAGCCAGGGTTAATAGACTAAAGTGGTAGTTGCCCAAACAAATCCTTAGTAGATGGAAGACCATGGTGAAGGAATAAGTATGTGTGTGTGTATGTACTATGTATTGATGTGCGAGTGTATGTATGTGTTTGATTAGGTCCATGATATACAGTGTAAGAAAGATATTGTGGGCTTAAGCAACTATTTTGTTGATGTGTCCAAGTTTCTTTATTTAAACAGTGTATATTTGGGACAGCAAGAGTTAAGGACCTGTTTTGAGGAGTTTCAAGACCAGACTCAGTCCTCGGATCAGCCTGTATTTTCATTTACAGAGGTATTAGGAGAGAGGATTCAGTTCATCTGACTTGTTAGGTCCCTTAATTTTAACTCCTACTCACAGGGACCAAAATGATTTCTGAACATATAGGCCGTACTTTGAAGTTAGGTCCACAAGGGGAAATGGGTTGGATGACAAACTACAGATTCAACGGCACATTCAGGTTACAGAGGCTGTGAGTGGTAACTTTCTCCTTACACAAACCACAGTGATAACTTATGTCTTAAAGTGGTGCATATTCTTTATATAGAAAACATTTCAGTATGCCATAACTTACACAGTCGGTGAATGTCCCTAATGCTGCTGTTTCAACTCAAAGATGAATTTATATATATATTATTTTATTATTTTTTGCAAAATGTGCAACATTCTGAAGATAACAGCATACACATGCAAACACACGTAAACAGAAACCACGTGGCTTCCGAGGTAAAAACAAAATTAAAAAAAAACAAAACTATAAAGTTCATGACCACAGACCACCTCAAACCAGAAATACCTCAGATTTTTCTACGTGTATCAGTTTTATTATATATTTTGTTAGTTGTGTTGTCTTGTAGTAAGTATATTTTAATGTAAGTTGGCTTTTATGACAAGGGAGTTTTGAAAAAAAAAGTTCCAAAATCTTTTAGGAAGTGCTACCATTTTATGTTGTATAAACAAAAAAGAAAACCTGTAAATAACTGTATACAGTTGTAGAATACTGCCTATACAAGGTACCTGGGCATTATTCATTCTGTGCTGGCTGTTTCTACATTTTTGTCTGACATGTAAAGGGACAACAAACCTTTTTTTACCCATTTACATACCTTTTTAGATTTCCAGGTGAATTTCAATAATCTGGAAAGTGTTTCTGGTACATACTATCTATTAAGCACATTTTCTGGATTGATTTTGTGCAGAACAGAAATGGAAGAAGAAATGTAATCATTCAATGCACTTAAAGGAATTAAGTTTTGCATGGGATTTGACGCAGGTATGGGGTTATATCTGTTCAATTTGCAATTGTTTACTTGGTGGACAAATTTCTTCACATATTTCAGTCTGGAGCCATATAATTGTATAATTATACCGTTAAACAAAAAAGCTTATAAAAAGTATACAAGGCTGAATTAATAGAGATCAAAAAGGTTTAGTGTCCCTGTTTTTGTGCTGTTTCAGCTGTTTTCTACACATACTGACTAAGGCTATACAGCAGTTGCTTTTTCAAAAAAAAATCTCCCTCCTATGAGCTTTGTTTTTTCATGGTGCCATATTTATCTAGAGGTTTTACTTTTCTGCTCAGATATCTAATTGGAACCATATGAATTGAAAATTATTTCTGATACCTTTCATGAAAAGGGTACACACATTGTGACTTTGGGCTTTTTCATTTTTGTTGTCAAAAATCATCTCATTAACAAGTAACTGTTAAGTATTTCATAAGTCAGGGTTGTTGTGGGTAAGCAATATCTGTACAGCTCTTTTCAGTTGAGGTTTGAAGTTTATAGTATTTCTTAATAGGTAGATAATTTTCAAACCAATGTTTTGAAAAGGTAGAAGAACGCCCCTTTCGAAGTGGATTGCCAGAAAATTTACTGAAGCAGCTCACTCTTGTAATGCTGTCTGCCTCTTTTACTGTGGCAAACGTATTGTCAGGTCTATGAATCATGGGAAGGGTGCTATCTACAGCATTTCTTCAGTTTACTTTAAAAACAGTGAGTTGGGTTCGTGAAGCAACATTTCATATAAAGACAACCAAGTCAGAAACCTATAACTGAGTTTAATCATACATCTGTGAAATTAGAACTTTTTAACTGCTGTCATTGAATGACATTTTCTCTTTCTTTCAGACATCATTAATAACTTCATTTATCCATTAATTCTAAATTTAAGTTCATGCTTAATCTCGGAAGGCTAAAATGAAGTTTTTAAAAATCATTTACTTTTTACAGGGATATAATCAAGAGGGTTCTGCTTTGTGATTTGAATTTCCGATGCGAAATGCAAAAGGACTTGGCAAGCTATGTAGCAAGCAATATCAACAGCAATAGCCTTAAGGCATATATTTTTTTCTGTTTTCAGGTTTAAAAAATGAACTCTTGGGGACTGTAAATGGCCCTAAAGCAATCAACCAAATTGTTAATAAAGACCACAATACGCTGTGCTGTTTTAGACTTAAGGTTTGGAAGTCCTACAAAAAGTCCATAGGTCTTTGAAATACACTAGATCCAGTTAATGGAAAATTATTTGTTGTAAATGATTGTCAGAACAGTGGGGTTTTGCTGACGTTTTTTTTAAAACATTTTTAATTTTACTTAAGTATTAAGGTGAAGTTTATCAAGTATAAAATGTGTAACTGTCATATTGTGAAATACCTTGAAAAATTTAACCTAGTTAAGTATTTCAGTAATGCTTCTAATTTTAAGCAAGCATTTGACTACTTAGAAAATAACCAAAGTTTTATTTTTTTAGTAGAGTAGGATATTCTTCATTGTGTCTGTTTTTAATGTAAGGGATGGCTAGATCAACATTCTGGCTTTTCTAATTATTTTTTCAGGCACATGAGAATTTTGACTTTAGACAATCTCTGAAAAAAACCAAATTGAAGTTTTATTGGGCAGTTAAGAATGTAAGCTTCTGACTGCTCTGATCATGTCTAGAAATATTTGGTACAGGAAATAGTAAGATGATCAGGTTTAGCCTTGTGTTGCTATGTGTAAATCCAGCATCATGCTGTTTTTTTGGACCTTATGAAAAGAGCAGTCTCAAAATATTTAAAAGCCTGTGATAAAATGATGTACCACACACTACATTGCTTTTTTTTACGGGAAGGACAAATATTTGTTCACTCTCCCATAAAGGCAAGTTTTCTCCATTTTTTTTTAAATGGAGGATTGTAATTATAAAATTTTAATTTTGTAGATGTTTGTTTTTATTCCGTAAACTATAAAATAGCCAATAGAGTATTTTACATATATCAAGTCAGAATAAACTCAGTGTTGATTGTTGGAATTAGAATAGGCTTTGAATTTGAAATGTGTTGGGGGGGGGGGGGGATTTTTGGGGTGCTGTTTAGTATTGAATTTCACCATGGAACTTCAAACAGTTCTTTGGCTTTTACATTGTAGCATAACCTTCTAGAATGATTTTTATAAAGGTCATAAGTGAAGTAAGTTTAGACGTGGGATGGAATCATGTTTAACTTCAAAGCCTTGTGATCAGTATTATGTTGAATAAAATTCCTGTTTGTGCAAATCTGCAAAAATATGCAATAGTTGTACAGAGCTCTGTAGAACATTACATTTTACATGAGGTTTATTTTTTCCAGCTTGTGGAATTCTTTAAATTATTTACTTTTTGAAAAAAAATGTGTAAAAATATAAGGTGCCATGTTGAGGAGAAGTTTTCAAATGGTTCTTGAGTGGGCAGAGAAATTTCTGGAGTGTTTTTAACTCCCTTTTTCTGAGTTACTCAATAAAATAAGACCAGGGTAGATGTTAGAAAATCTCGTATATTTTTCAAAAATATCACTTCAGATTTTTTCCAAATCGATTGTATTAGCTTTAATGTAGTTATCCAACAGATTCTAAAGGCTGACCTTGGTGTATTCCTGATTAAATGATGACAGAAAAGTCAGTCTGTCCTGGAGATCAGAATGCATATGGGTGTAAGTGGCATTAATATTTGAAATGCAGAGAACAGACTTGGCCATCTTGCAGAAATGAAGGTGTTTTGATGTTGTGCCTTTTTTTCCCCCTCAAACAAGTAAAAGCAACTGCTGTGAGCCTTTTTTTTGTTGTAGTACCTGACAAAAAGTTCATAAAATATGGCCAGCTGTAAATTCTGGATGCAGTCAGAGATCCAGGTATTTCAGGAACCAATTACCTCAAACCTCATGTGAAACAGTGTTGCTAGCTGGATACTCCTTGATATCACATAATGTATACTATAAAACACAAACAGGAAACCTCTTTGTACCAGTGTAACGTGTAACGGCCCCCTTGCCAATTGTGAAACCTTCCTCTTTTTAGATTCACACCTTTGAAATTGAGCTGAGAAATGGTATTGTGCTGTAAATATTCAAGAGTGCTTCCTTTCTACTTTAATTTTTTTCATATGTGATGTAGATGACCTTCTTAAATACTAGTGTCCCCAACTTTGGTACTTGAGCCATAACAATGAGGATTTCTTAAGTAGTTTTCTGTGTTGTACATTTATGTAAAGTTTTCATTTAGCATTGGCTTTCCAATCCATAAAACCATATAAAAAACACCTAAACAAAATGAAAAATAAAAGTAGTAGAAAATAAGATACAATAGTATTCCTTGAATAACATTGTTCACACATGTAATTTTTGCAAAAAAAACCGCTTGTAACAATTTGTGCAATTGGTAGGAGATTTGAAGTAAAGAATGGGTCAACTTCTAGGAGTCAGTACATAGCAAGGTTTCTCAAGTGGATGGAAAGCACAATAAAGTTATCCGCTGTCTTTTTAATCTCTGAAAATATTTGAGAAAGTTTAAAATCGCAGGCAGCGGATCCACCTCTTGGGTTGTAGGTCTGATTCCATGTGGGTGAATCTTTTGTGTGGGGTTTGCATGTTCTCCTTGTAGCTGTGTGGGCTTTGTGTTCCAGCTTTCACAGTCAAAATACATGCAGTCTAGGTTAATTGGCATCTCTAAATTGTCCCCCATTGAATATCTATAGAATGAATTTGTTAAAGCACTGTAGAAGACTTTTTTTTCAGGAAAGTTTAATAATTTAATGTCAACAGCAAAAAATGATGGCTAACTACACAGTTTCATTATTTTCAGTATTTAATATTTAATGATGATAATTTCTAAAATTAAGTCTTACAAATATTTATGCCAGTAAGTTTACCTTAAAATAAAACAGTTCGGAAATAATTTTGGAGGAGCTGTGGAAAGTTCTGTCTTGGTACACATTTCTACATCAAAATCATTACCTCATGTTCCTAAGTTATCAGTGTTTACTGTAAGTATTGAACTTCAGGTAGGGCTGACTAGGTTATTTACAGTTTTTGGTCAAAAAAGTATTAACATCTCCCCTAGTTGAAAAAGTTTGAATATGAACGCTAATGGCTCTTGAAATGTCAAAGATTCTTCATCTTTAAGGAGCAGTTACTGACATCTTGCTTTCTGCTTTGCTCTAACACAACATAACACTTGCACAATACCATTTCGTTTGCTCTTAACTGATGTCAACACTACGTTGTCTGAACTGTAGTGTTTGGGAAAACTCAACTTTTTTAGTGGACTGAATTTAGGAAGGCCTTTTCTAATACTTGACAGTTTTTCAAACCAATAGCCGTAGTTTCTATAATATCAATTGCAAACTTGAAAGTGTGTTTCCATCATTTGCAGGGTATGTATCCACCCAAGTCTCTGGGATTCCCAAATAAACTGCTGGGGAGTTAGTAAAGGGGGATCTGTGTAGGGGTGAAGAGAAGAGATTTCTTTGTCAAGGGGTCACTCAAGTGCTGTTTCTATACCAGGATATGTGAAATGTAAATGTTGTAGGTTATATTTCACTATTGTAGCTAAAAATGTAGATCAGAAATGGCTTGTACTACTGATTTTAACAATTATACTAAAAAGTATCCTGTAAAAGACAACAAATGTATACAGAGAATTAAACTTGTTGCTGTATCCCCTTTTTTGGATGGAAGTATGTTAAGTTTTATATATATATATGAAATGCCCTGGAAAAAAACATCAGTTGTATCGCCGTAATGAAATGAGGACTTTTTTGAACGATCATTGTAACATAGTTCATTAATTTGCAGTGGATTATTGTTCATTTTTACTGTGGTAATTTTAGAACTGAGTATCAGGAGTTTGACTTAGATTTGCCTAGTTTTGGGGTGTTGTTGTTTCAGCTCTCGACACTGGGTGCCAGAATAAACCAGTATGAATGTAGTATTTGCCCTGTGTGAAGCAACTACACCCCAACATGTAGAGAAAAAATACTAGAAAGGATTATTTCAAGTTTATCTTTTTGTATATGAAAATAAAATACTGATAAACCATTCATGCTGGTGTCTGTTATTACAAAACAAATGAAAAAACTCTCCAATTTTAGAAATTCTTGAGGTTGCATCTTTTTTTAATTAAGATTATTTAGATGGGTCAATTGCAAATAGGCACTCGTGCAAATTCTTATACTGCAAATAGTTAACCAAAATGACTGTTGCATTTAATTTTCCTTGACCAAGTATTCCGTAGTTAGTGCCTTATAAAAGTAATTTCTGCTCCCAATGTCTGGTTTTGTTGAATTATGCACTTTTTAAACTGAATATTTTTAATCAATGTGAATGCCCAATCTGCATTTTTATACATGAAATAAGCTGCATGTCACTAAAAAATGCAGGGATAAAACCAGAAATAAAGTTACACAACTGATTGCAGAGTATTCACCCTCCATACTATGACAAGCTTAAATTAGAACAGGAGCACAAAATTGCTTTGACAAGTCAGATGATTAGTTCAAAGGCCTCAGTGTAAAATAGTGATTTGCTTCACTTCGGAGTAAATGCATCTATGTATGGCCCATAAGTTAGTAATTTCACAAAGATTCGAGCACGAAGGCCAGGGAACTTTCCAAACTACTGAAAGATAAAACTCAAGCTTATGTGTCTAAATGCAGCGTGTCTGGCGTAAGCCTAACACTGTGCATCACTCAGTTATCACTACGCCTGCACTCAAACATGGTGGTGGCGGCATTATTTTGTGGGGCACTTTTCATCAGTGGGGACTTGGTTTGTCATATTTGTGGGGGAAATGGATAGACCAAAGTCGTAGGCAAAAACTATAGAAAAGCCTGTCTGCGTGTCAAAGGCCTAGAATTATGCCTCAAATTCACCTTGTAGCAGAACTTGACAGAGCTTGAACAGATTTGTAAATAAGAATGGGTGGACATGACACTATCCTGTGACAAAAAGAGTTTCCATCTGGTATTGACTGGGGGGATAAATCCAACCAACACTTGTTTTTCTCATTTTTGTCTGCAGGCTTCTCTGGCATTTAACTTTTCCTCCATAAATGTGCTCAGATTGAGCATTCAAGTTTTGATTGAAGTAATTTAAAAAGTATATGTCACTAGTAATTCAACAGAATTGGGCATCTTTGGAAAGGATTGAATACTTTTGCAAAACACTGTAATGACATATAATAAATGTTATTTTATATAGTGCCTTTAAAGGTGGCTTCTCAAAGTGCTTTACAGTATGACGACAATAAATAAAAAGAATACACAAGATAAAACACAATTACAATATAAAGAAGAAACTGTAGATGGTGGTACTAAGAAAATCGGAAGGGTGAAGAATGGAACCAGTTAAGTAAAGGCTTTTCTAAAGAAGGTTTTGAGTCTGGATTCGAAGGAGTTTAGAGAAGGTGACTCTCTGATATCCTTGGGCAAAGAGTTCCAGAGCTTGGGGGCAGCTTGGGGGCATAACAGGAGAAGGCCCTGTCACCCATACAATGCAGATGGGCTAGGTGGACAGTAAGGAGACCAGAATTAGAAGAGCGAAGGTTGCGAGGTGGGGAATAGGGCGATAATAGTTCACACAGGTACTGAGGTGCCAAGCCATGCAGAGCCTTATAGGTGAGCATGAGGAATTAAAGTATACACGGAATTTGACAGGAAGCCAGTGCAAGGACTCCAGGATAGGAGTAATGTTATCATTTGCACTAGACCTGGTCAGGATTCTGGCTGCTGAATTTTGGACATATTGCAGTTTGTTCAATGTAGATTTAGATGCCCCAGCAAGTAGAGCATTACAGTAGTCAATTCAAGAGAACACAAATGTGTTGATCAGCTTTTCAGCCACCGTTAGTGATAGCATAGGGCGTAGTCTAGCGATATTTCTGAGGTGAAAAAAAATTGTTTTGACAATATGCTGCACATGTGTGTCAAATGTTAAGCCAGAATTGAATATAACTCCAAGGTTTTTCAATTTAGATTGAAGCTCAAGTACAGAACCATCTACGGATAGGGTTACAGGACTGGCTTTACGAAGTTGATGGGGGGTGCCAATAAGCATGACCTCAGTCTTGTCACAGTTAAGATGAAGGAAATTTTGAGTCATCCAAATTTTTATGTCAGAGATGCAATTAGATAGAATAGAGACAGCCACATCAGTGTCATGTTTGGTATGGATGTGTATTTGAGTATTGTCAGTGTAGAAATGATAGCTGAGGCCATGTGATGTTAAAAGCTGACCAAGTGGAAACATGTAAATGCTGAAAAGCAAGGGGCCCAGTATTGAGCCCTGAGGAACACCAGACTTAACAAGACCAATTTCAGACCTATACCCATTAAGAGAGACAAAGTGACAGCGATCAGTGAGGTAAGATTTGAACCATTTGAGAGCAGTGTCAGAAACTCCAAACAGTCTCAAGATGAGATAGTAAGATGTCATGGTCAACAGTGTCAAAAGCAGCACTGAGATCAAGAAGGATGATTATAGAAAGAGAACCAGAATCAGAAGCTATAAAAAGATTGTTAGTGACTTTGACCAGGGCAGTTTCTGTGCTGTGAAGTTGACAGAAGCCAGATTGGAGGGGTTCGAAAATGTTGTTTGTCATGAGGTGGTTATGTAACTGAATTGTGATAGCACGTTCTAGAATTTTTGCAAGAAAGGGTAAGTTGGAGATGGGGCGAAAATTGTTAAGGTTGTTTAGAGCCATGCTAGGCTTTTTTGGCACATGGGTAATGGCAGCAGTTTTGAGGACTGTTGGTACAATGCCAGTGCTCATGGATTCATGTATAATATTGAGGACAATGGGACAGAGAGAAGAGAAAGAGGACTGAAATATAGTGGTGGGAATGGGAACTAAAATAAATGTGGTGGGTTTCATGTGTGTAGCTAGTTTATTAAGGGATACTGAGTCAAGAAGAGAGAAGGGAACCAGAGAAGTTGGATGAGGAGGGAGGAGGTATGGAAATGATATGCGTAGTGGAGAGAATGTGATGCCGGATGTTGTTGATCTTAGAACCAAAGAAATACAAGAACGTGTTGCAAAGTTGCAATGAGGCAGGTAATGTGGTGGGGCAGTTTCGCTTGAGCAGTCTGTTGATGGTAGAGAAAAGATGTCTGGGGTTGTTTTGGCGATTTTCAATGATGTGAGAGAAGTAGGTGGATCTAGCAGGCTCTATAGTAACCTTATATTCAGACAAGTAATCTCTTCAAGCCTGATAATGTACAGAAAGACGCCGCCTACACTCAAGTTTGCGGGAGGCTGCCTTCATGGATCGCAGATAGTTGTTGTACCAGGGGGCAGGGCGAGAGAAGGAGATGGTTTGAGTTTTTAAAGGGGCAAAGGTGTCAAGGGTAGATAAAAGTAACTGTATTTTGTTCTCTAGAGGGTCAGAGGAAGAGAAACAAAATAAGGAGCGCAGAACAGAATTTGCAAACCTTGAGTGATCAATTGATCGCCAGTTGCGGAAATTTACAGAGCGTGGGGGGACGTGTTAGAAACAGGTAATTCCAGATTTGAAAAGAATAGCTAAGTGGTCAGAGAGCCCTAGATCAAGGGGAGGGCAGTGGGAGACAAAAGAGTAATTTGCAATAATTAAATCTAAGGTGTGTCCTTTGTTATGTGTAGGGGTACAAACAAACTGAGTAATCAAAACATCCCAATAGAGAAAAGAAGTCTTTAGCTAGACTGGAAGACCTTGAATTGATGTGTATATTTAAGCCCACTAGAATAAAGATTCTTTTAAACTTAAGGCATAAAAATGAGAGAAAATCAGCAAACCCACCTAAGAAGGCTTCACTGGGTTTGGGTGGTCTATAATCTATGGCAATAATAGTAGACTGGGGAATAGAAACATTTAAAACAAGGCACTCAAAAGAAGAGGAAGTACAGTAATAGGACTTAGATTGTAAAAAACGTTGTAAATAACAATAATGCCCCCTGCCTCTGCCTGAAAGACGTGGAAGGTCAAACAAACCATACCCAGGAGAGACTAACACCAGGATATAGTGTTTTTAAGATATGGTATTAAACTGTTTTTAAGTGAAGAAGAGGTGTGCGCTGGTTTTTTTTATTTCAAAATTACATGCAATTTCTACGTAGACTTTCTTTTCTTGACTTGGCATTCCCAGTCATATGAGCAAGGACTCAGTGGGTAGTTCACACAAGCCTTTGTTTCAATTTTTTATGCTTGGAAACGGCATCGTTAAACCCTGGTAGATTAATAATTAATAATAATGGCTTACACTTATATAGGGCTTTTCTGGACACTCCACTCAAAGCACTTTACAGGTAATGGGGACAGCCCTCCACCACCACCACTGTGCAACATCCACCTGGTTGATGCGACAGCAGCCATAGTGCACCAGAACGCTCACCAAACATCAGCTATCAGTGGGGAGGAGAGCAGAGTGATGAAGCCAATTCATATAGATGGGGACTATTAGGAGGCCATGATTGGTAATTATCTTAAAGGCTACAGAAAGCTGACAGTGTTATCTACTCTGTTATCTCTTTACTCATAATTTATGTTTAACAAGTTGTAATTGACTGACATACGTTTTTGTCTTTTTTCTCTTTTTTGTTCATTTCAATTTTAATTACAGATTTTGTGTTCCTTTAGTATATGTTAATGTATAGTAATTCTGTTAACCCGTAATGCTCAAAATAGTAAAATATGTGATCTGCTAAAACAATTTTAAAAAGGATATGCAGTTCTAATTTTTATATGTAATAATAAGCGCTTCGTGATAATTTTCTGTCACAAAAAACACATTTATCATTTATATTTATTTTAAATCGCTGGACAAAACGGGTCTTAATTGGGTAAATTCAATGAATTATTTTGTATGAAACCTCCTTAACCTCATAAGTTATACAATATTTATTGGGCATCATCCAGTTTTTATTTTCCTTAACCTTATTAGCTACACACTATTTATTGGGCATCATCCAGTTTTTATTTTCTTATATTTTTTATTATCCAGTTATTTTATTTTTTATGGGAAAACCCATTTTCCAAATGAGGAATTCCAATATACTGTAACAGTGAGGATACTATCATCTTGCAACAGAGATCTTAAAAATGTATTACATACACAACTCAAAATGTCCTTTCCTTGTATTCTGATGCGAGCTGTAAATTATGTCAACGTTTCTAATGGAGTACTATTGCAACTCCTTAAAATAGTCAATATTTCTCTAGGAATCGCGTTAATTACAATGAAACTGAAAAAATTATTTTAACAAACTCGGTGTAATTATATATTGTAATATATTTCACCGTCAGCATTGATTAATTGTTTAACCCAAATTATACAATTTTTGACCCAATTTTAAAAAAAAAAGGTTTTATTTCAAATTTGTATACATCTGTTGTTCAAAATGGTAAAAGGGGTTAGAAAAAGTTGATTGCACGGTTTATACACGAGAGTACATTTTCACTACCACTAGATGTCAGTCGCAATCTTTTATTAACTTTACAGTAGTCTCTCTTTCCTGTTTCGTTAACGTTGATTCTTGTTCCGTAGGTTAGCTTTGTGTGTGTGCTGCAAGGAATTTTGAAGCTCAACTAAAATTTTTTGCTCTTGCGAGAAGAAAAAGGAGAAAAAATGTTCCTACGGTGGAAGAAGCTCCTTCAGTACAAATTCATTAGTGGTTTTGTGTCTGGTGCTGCAGTAAGCACAGCAACATGCGTTACACTGATGCAATTTTACAAGCGGAATAGTTCGGAAAAGATTGATAGTAGAAATAATGGTAAGATGAAGTACTGTAGGAAAGACTTAATTCACTCATACTGCACAGCAATGTAACGAAAGACAAATTCCTTTAACTTTTAAACAGACAAGTTCCCTGTTTCCTTGTACGCCATGTGGCGTAGGACTGTAAGTATGCACACGTACCGCGAGATTCATAAAAAAAAAAACAGCTCTTCAAACGGAATAACATTTAGTACAGTTTTAGTAGAGTTGTCGACAGATAGTGGTATCTGAAATGCATTGACCTGGTTGAAGATACTGTAATCCAGGCTATATATATATATGATAAGATAATTGTTTTGTTCTAAAACGATTTTCACGTAAGATATATTTTGTATGTTTTCTTTTTTTGGTGTTTGAAATAAAACTCGTAAATGCCTGCATCTGAACGTAACTACAATTATACTGTGCCAATGTACTGTTTTGTCTTTGCAGGGGTTTTACGCACAAGGAAGCACTAATATTTTGGCATAAACACTTTGTACGGTTTTTTCTTCGCAAAATACTGTAGCAAGAAGGCGGACAGAGCCTTAAATAACAAGAGGAAGTTTAGGAATTGGTTGTTTGTAACCTTGTGTGCTTGCAGAATTTTGTGGTGGTTCATGGATTTCATTGTTTCTCAGAGAAAGTACATTTAAAAAAACAACTTTTGTTTGTTTTACAGAAGAGCCTCAATATGAAGAGTTGGGGAGGTATGGTTTTCCATTGACAGGTGCAGAACTAAGATATTACACCAATCATACATTATCATATGACCAGGCCAAAAGGATACCTAGATGGGTGGCTGAACATATTTCAAGTGCAAAATTGTTAGGTAAGCAATGAACATCCTCCAGTGTGTTAAACTTTTTAGATGTGCACTAACTCCCTGGGTTACATAAGAGTTCAATTCCTGAAGTCTTGAACTCAAATCTTGCATAAATCAATGCTTCCCTTTCTTAGCTGTTGTGTGAATACATACTGTATACCATCTAAGATACTTCAGCGGTTGTCCATTATTTTCCTTTGCTGTGTCTGTCAGTTGGGAAGGAAGGACCATAGAGCAGAATTGCAGGATCACCAAGGTTTATTGTCCACGTCTGGTTAACAGGTGTGTGTGCTCGTCATGGAGGGGGCTTGAAAGCTAGAGGGAGAACATAGCAGTAGCTAACAGTCCTTGAGCTAGAAAAAGGATGCTTCCCCCATTTATATTGAAAGAAATCAATTAATGAAAAAAGCATTTAAAAAAACTAATTAAAATGTCATATATAGCATACACTTACAAATGCAACAGCTACATTAGAATGAACTTTTAATTAATTCATAAAACTGTACAATTTATTAGCTAACACTTATCTTACAGTTCTACTTACTGTTCAGTAATTAAACACAAAATAAAACGCACAGTGAATAATAAAAATAATAAAATCACTTGGGAGCTTTTCCTAACATGATTGCAATCTGAATTTCTCACAATTCTCAATGAAAAAGAGCAAAATAATATGTAGTGGTAGCCACACATGTACAAAAGTGAAACAATCCTGAAGTGTAAAGCAGAGCCCTGGTGGGCACACAGTTTGCTCAGTCTGCACTATTTATCCACAGAAGGAGCTTGCTACTTGCTCTTTACATGTGTAACATAAACTCTTCTTTCCTTAGAAATTTTATTGTGGAGCCCATGGAAGCTATTGTGTCGGTTTTGGGTCAAATTCTCATGTTTCTAGTTAAGGCAGGTGCAAAACTAATGGAAATCTATCAAGATTGATGATGATGGAGGGCCCAGAAACATGACTGTAGCAGAATGATCAGCTGAGCTCAAGGGTGGAGACTGTCCCTTGGTAAATACCCAGGGTCCAGTGCTTAACTCATGGCAACACAACGTGAAACAGAAGAGGGGAGCAGTTCCCATGAAAGTGCTTAGGGGATCGGCCTTAAGTTTTTTTTTATGTCAAAGGTCTCTACAAGAAAATTTTCCAGAAATCTCAATTCTCAAAATTATAACCAGTAAAAGCTCCATGTTGGTCCACTACAAGTTATGCTTAATAAAACTGCATTGTTGATCCAGTGCATTTTCTGCTGATCTAGTAACTGGTAATCAGACATGGATTCACCCTGGGACACTGAGTCTCAAAAAAAGAACTGGAAGGACCAGGCGCTGTGGCTCTGTGGCTAAGGATCTCCCCCTGTGGCTGGAAGGTTGTCAGTTCGGATCCCACGTCCTGCAGAGGAATCCTACTCCATTGGGCTCCTGAGCAAGGCCCTTAACCCCAACTGCTCCAGGGGTGCTGTATAAATGGCTGACCTTATGCTCTGACCCCAAGCTTCTCTCCCTGTCTGTATGTCTCATGGAGAGCAAGCTGGGGTATGCAAAAAGACAAATTCCTAAAACAAGAAGTTGTATATGGCCAATAAAGTGATCTTAATATTTCTATTATAAAACAAATGGATGTACAAGAAGCTTGCTTGTTAACAATGTAAGAGGGCTGTTTCACATCCCCGGACATTTTGTTGCCTCATTATGAATCACAGAATATGGTGAAAATTTTGTCTGCTTTATGATGGAAATTGGAGGTTTTACAAGCTAATGTGTACCTTTTACTTTGATTGTAGCTGAAAATGCACTCATCAATGCTGATTTCTTTCTAACCCCAAAGTATAAAAATAGTGTTGCAGTTCCCCTTTAAGTAGCATTTTCTATAAGAATTTTGACATACCAGTATATTTATTCTACAACAGTATAACAAGGGTGTGCAATCAGGGCATGCAAGTCATACAGTGCATTGCCAGCTAGATATAAACGATGATTTACCACAAGCAGAATATTATTAATCTACAGAATTTAGTTGTATTCTTTTTCAAGGTGTCCATTGTGTATTTCATACTGCAGTGATCTGGTTAATGCTGTCTCTATAGTATGCATTCTGCTGTTATTCGCCCTGAGCTCAGAATGCCATATCAGCATTTAGAATTGTGCAGTTTTGCTGCACTGGGATGTCAGCAGCACTCGCTAGTAAAACAGCTGAAGTCATGTAAGCAGGACAAAATAATAAAAAAGGGTAGCTTGATAGTTTTTGTACATGCACAGAACAGTTGTGTCTATTAATTCATATTGCCTACTTGTTAACCATGTCTGTCTGGAGTAGTGGTTGTGGTAATTGAAAAGAGTTACTTTACAATATGAAAAGTCAGGGGAAGGTTATGATGCAGAATATTTTCAATCTTGAACAGAGACAAATAACTAACAGACCTGATACAAGTATTCAGCACCTTCAAAGGCATTGCCAAAGTCAACCTGTGTACTTCAAAATAAACGATGAAACAGAAATTCAAGGACACAAGTTTGTGGGATTATGGAACATGGAACATGCAACACAGCCATGTTATTGAAATCTGAACCCTATCATCGAGGCCAAAGATATATCTTTGGCCAATTACCTACTTAATACCGAATGGTGTCTGGATGGGCTTAATGGCCTCCTCACCATTGCAAACTCTCATATGGTCTTACAAAAATACAGTCAGACTGTGATTGTTCTTTTCCTTTTGGTCCTTCAGGCAAAGCAGACAGGAAGCACTGCAAATTCAAGCCTGACCCAAGTGTTCCTCCACTTTTCACAGCTGTGAACGAGGACTATTTGCACAGCGGCTGGTCACGAGGACATATGGCACCAGCGGGTGACAATAAATATTCAGAAGTATTACATTTGTACATATGTTCAGTACTCTCTTCTTTTTGTATTAATTAGCTCTGTGCAGTGCTCTGTGGGGATTCTTCTCCCTTTTGCTTGTAGTATGCTCACTTCAGTTTTTACGTACTTCTGTAGTATGGAGGGCACATGGTTTGACTGGTGTTGTATTGTTATCCTATTCTTCTGTTTCCCTTTGACTATAACCTTTGTTTCTTTTATAAGACAATATTTGAGCCTGCACACATCATGAGACTTATCTCCTCTTATTATTATGATGCAAAGTTGAATTGTGAAAACAGACAAGTTTTGTATTAACCCTTTTGTCTTTAGTTGATATGCTTTTGGTAACATTAAGGTGCAAATGATGGGAAGAAATTTATAATGGACTTTAAAACTCCATTATTCTTTAGGACTGAGACTTGTTTTATGTACTTGACTGTCTTTAAATAGACTAAATACATGTACCTTTTTGTTCATTCATATTCACTCTAAATATTGCAGAGAATATACACTTCTAATTGTGTGACTGCTTTAATTAGAGTTGGACAACACTTACAAATTCTGCTACATTTTGTGTCTATTCCTTGCATTCAAAAGTGATTGTCTTTCATGAGCCAATACAGGTTCTTTAAGTTCTGGCTATGTATTATCTGAACAGTCTTAATTTTTGAGATCTTTAAGTTTAATGCTTATTCTCTTTGGCTAGGGCAGGGAGTAGTGAGGTAAATTATAAGGCAATCCTTCTGACCATACGTTAGTCATTACCCAAGTCCCACAGTGAGAGTGAGGGGATCAATTGTGTTTCACAGTGATAGCTAAAGGGGTGGACTAAGGCGAGACACTGAGAGACTATACTCCAGATTCCTTAAAAGTTTCATTTTTTCATTCCTTTCTGCTATTTTCTTTTACTTCTTCTTTGTTTTTACTGGTGGATTACTTTAAGTTCCATTTAACATCTCAGCACATTTGGATTGATTTTTGACTATATCTCTTTCTTTACACAGCAGTCAATGGCTGAAACATTTTACCTGTCTAATATCGTGCCACAGAACATTGAAAACAATGGTGGTTTCTGGAACAGGTAAAGCAAATACAGTTTTAGAAAATTGTTAATGGAAGATATGTATTCTGCTGTTCAGCCAGCACTTGCATTTTGGCTGTAAAATGATCTGTCCATGAGAAATGTGGAAATATATTGTAATTAATCTGCTCATTAATTTTGTGTGACTTGTTTAATCCGTCATCTTCCAAATTAAGATTTTTTAAATACTTCCAGTGAATATTTTTTGTTCTGTGTGATTACTACCCCTTGTGAGTTTTCAAAACAGGATACTGGACAGAATTCTGTAATAAGAATGGATAATTAATGTTATTGGTTTTATTTTTTCAGGCTTGAAATGTACTGCAGAGATCTGACAAAGAGGTTTGATGATGTATGGATCATTACAGGACCCCTAGTCTTGCCTGAAGTTGGAGCTGATGGGAGCAAAACTGTATCATACAAAGTAAGAATTGTTATTATGATTGGTACTAATGTAGTAAGTGTTGTTTGTAGATGAATTGCAAATGCCAGTTTACAGAACAAGATTATTAATTGCAGGCTTAGGATAAATCTTGTAGGTAAATTAACTGTAGTTAAAATCTTACTACGTTCAGTTTTCAGGAATGTCTTTTGTATTCTGTGATTTCATTTAAATTATTAGGCCTATGTTGTCAGCTAACAATTTTTCTAGGGATTTTACCTTTACCTCAGAAAGTTCATAAAAGGTGTTGTAATCTTTGAGATTGGGGTATTTGCATATTTACGTATCTTTAATATTAACACCTAATACAGTGTTTTGGAAAAGAAACACAGGAAAAAGTTTAACTCGGTAGCTGGCCTTCATAGCAGAAACAGATATATGACTAGATAAACAGCTAAATGTACACTAGATGGCAGTGTTGGACTTGGGATTGGGAATTAAAACAGAAGAACAGAGCAGACTAATGCAATTACTGCAAACCATAACTCCTAAATAATAACTCAATATTATTAAATACATAATTTATCTGGCAGTTTTTTTTTTTATCCAGAGTGACATATATTCATTTTTTTCCCAAAGGATTTATTGTTTTCTAAGTCATTTGGCTTCTGGGATCAATTTATACAGCCAATACTGCTGGAGTAATTTTGAGTAAACTACTTTCTTCTGGAGGTACAGCAGCAAAATGTCCACCTGGAATTTCAATTCAAAAACCTTCCTCTAGGATGCTAGTGGAACACTAGTCCCCACATGTTCTCTATTTATTGTATCCATGTATCCATGTAATGGATAGATGGATACAATGTTGTGGGGTGGTCAGTGCCTATCCTGGCAAGCAACAGGCACAAGGCAGGATACATCCTAGACAGGATGCCAGTCCATCACAGGGCACATGCAGACACAGGCACATACACACTGAGGTCAGGGACAATTTTCCCAGAAGCCAAATAACCTTCCAGTATGTTTTTGGACTGTGGGAGGAAAACAGAGAACCCAGAGGAAACTCATATGTTCACAGGAAGAACCTACATAATGCATAAACTAAATTAAAAACATGACTGCATTTCCTTGGGATACAGTTATATACAGTCATGTAAAAAAGAAAGTACACCCTCTTTCAATTCTGTGATTTTATATATCAGGATAATAAAAATATCATCTGGTCCTTACCAGGTCCTCAAATTAGGCAAATCTAATCTCAGGTGACGAACAACACATAACAGATTCCACTATGTCATTAACAAAAATAAGCCAACATGCAGAAGCCATGTGTGAAAAACTAAGTCCACTCCATGATTGAATAGCTTATCGAACCACTTTTAGCAGCAATAACGTGAAGTAATTGTTTTCTGTATGAGTTTATCAGTCTCTCACATCGGTTGGGAGGAATTTTGGCCCACTCCTCTTTACAACATTGCTTCAGTTCATTGATGTTTGAAGGCATTCATTTATGCACAGCTCTCTTATGTTCCTGCCACAGCATCTCAATGGGGTTGAGGTCTGGACTTTGACTTGGCCATTCCAACACCTTGATTCTTTTCTCTTTCAGCCATTCAGTTGTAGATTTGCTGGTGTGCTTGGGATCATTGTCAAGTTACATGACCCAATTTCAGCCAAGCTTTAGCTGTTGGACAGACGGCCTCACATTTCTCTCTAGAATACTTTGGTATAAAGAGGAGTTAATGGTCGACTCGATGACTGCAAGGTGCCCAGGTCCCGTGGCTGTAAAACAAGTCCATGTGCTTGATGGTTGGTATGTGGTGTTTGTGGTGATAAGCTGTGTTTGGTTTTCACCAAACATGGCGTTATGTATAATGACCAAACATCTCTGCTTTGGTCTCATCTGTCCAAAGGATATTGTTACAGAAATCTTGTGGTTTGTTCAGATGCAACTTTGCAAGCCAAAGCTGTGCTGCCATGTTCTTTTTGAAGAGAAGCTTTCTCCTGGCTACCCTTCCATGAAAGCCATACTTGTTCAGTCTTTTTCTGATCATACTGTTATGAACTTGGGTTCTTTGCAATTTCTCTGGGCATTATACAGTCTGACCTTGAGGTGAAATTGCTGTGAAATCTGTTATGATGATAGATTTGCTGGGAAATCTGTTATGATGCTAGATTTGTCTAATTATAGAAGTTGGTGAAGACCAGACGATTGTTATTTATGCCCTGATATGTAAAACCATTGAATTGAAAGAGGGTGTTCTTTCTTTTTCACATGACCATATGTATATGTATACATATTTTTTCAACTGATTGTTTTTTACTTTATATATAATACTGTATATAAATAGCAAAATGGGCAATACAGTACAAATGCATATTAAGACAAAAGCTGTATGTATACGTATGTGATATCAGAAAATTTGACTTGGCAGTTTTAACCAAGCACTTTAATAATAACAATGATACAATTAGAAAAAAAGTAACTGTTGTTGTGGCATCACTCTTAAATCCTCTTTAGCTCTTCCTTCACAAAGAATGGTAGTGTGTTTCCTCTGTACTATCATACCACACAAAAGCCCAAGCAAACCAAGCCAAAGGATAAACAGCTTTATCCGCATGAACAATACCCTTGTTTAAAAGAATTACACCTTCTTTTAGTAGATTATGATTCATGAAAAGCTCAAAGTAATAAACCCAGGTTTTAATTAAATAAACAACTGGAGTCTCAGATGTATAATAAAAGGAGTTCATAGGCATATCATTCCTGCTTCCATAGGCAGGCAGTACAGTTCAGCTGAAGCAAGTTGCATTGTTTTAATTACATTAGGCAAGAATAAATTAGAATAAATGTATCTGCATCTGGCCTCAATATAATACTAGAATTATACTAAAATGTAGTCACATCAAGACATCTCCACTACTGTATGTAAGACTAGAAGAACTTTTGTTTGGCATATTTTTGGGGTCTTGAAATGTCTGTTGCAAAATTTGCTGCAGAGCAGTTCAGATGCAGTATCCAGTCCACTGCCCATCAGTGAATATATGTGGGGTGTATACTAACACAGGCTTAATTTGTCATGTAGGCAAGGAGTCTTCAGAGTTCATTTGTTGAAAGAAACATGTTGTTTCGACCTTATGAAAAATAAATCAGCCGTAAATTCACATTATTCTGGTTTAACCTTTTCTCTGCTAATGCCCAGAGGATTTGGTACAGTGTCGGTCTGAGGTATTCTAGGGTGAAATGATGATGTTTATTAATCTGGAATGAATTCTATTATATTCTGTGAGCCATCTGGGGAAAAGTGCATTTAGTTCTCTGTCTGTTTGCTAACCAGTGCCATGCAGAGGAGTAATGTCCAGCAGGGGACCATGTGCACAGCTGGCTTCCTTGGGAACCCTTTGTGTCTAGTGTGAGTGACTGGCTAAATCATCAAGAGAAGCTTCCTAAGAGTTCCCTACCTGTCATGATTGGGGGCACAATGCAAAGGCTGGTTAACATTGATTAGCATGAAGGAAAATGTTTAGCATGACAATGCTTTCAGGATAGTCAGAGAGGCCTTTTGCCTTCTAGTGAAATTGCTTAAAAAATATTTTTCGGGATCCTTACAGTTTCCACTGGATCTATGCCAGTGATTTTTGGTGTAACCATGTTCTAATTTAAGACAGTCTGTGGTAATAATGTGGTGGCATATCATATCTGCAGTTTGCAGAATATGTAGAGTGCCAGGATTTTCACATAGTTGTTATTATAATATAACTATTAATAATATAATTAAATCATAAATGAGTAAAAGAACAAAAGAAAAGAAACCTCTTGGTTTATTTTACTTTAAAAGACTGGCAATTGTAAAAATCTATCTTTTAAAAAAAATGCATTCCTAATATATTTGTTAGTTTTTTTTTTAAGTTATAATCTTTGTAAATTACTCAGTCAATGGCATGGATGGTTCATATACACATTCAGGAAAAGTGGCCAATTCACAAAAACAGAAAACAGAAAAGATTTTTGGTTGATCATATTTAGACATATTTGACCTTCACCTTGTCCTTACCAAGTCCAAATAGTAGATAAAACTAACCTGATTTGACAAATAACAAACACAAAATCAACTTATTTTAATTTTTCTATTTAATTATTTTTTAAAAATAGCATTTGCATCTTTGTGTGATAAAGTAAGTTCCATCCCTTGATTCCGTAACTTGTGGCATCTCCTTTAGCAGCAATAACTTAGGTCTAGGTGAAGGTGAAATATGTACCTTAAAATTACTCTGGTAATGTCATAGATGCATAGCATGCACTTTCTGGCAAAGTTACCAGTTAGCCGAACAACATATTACAGCTGTAAAAAGCCATTATCTGCATGTTTTTGCCGAGGTATGCCTTGTCTCCTGTAAGTTACATTTTGGAGAACATAGTATCACAGCTTACAACATGAGTCGCTATTATACTTGGCAGATAACAATTAGGGTGTTAGATTACACTGAGAGTGCAACAAGCAGCACATTATTGAAAGCATCCTAATTAGCCCCTTAACAGGCTTGTCTTTTTTGCATTTAATAGTATATAAGGTGGCAGCTCATTTCACAGGGAAAAAAATACATCTAGAAAGAGACCATTTTAAATGTAATTAATGCTGAGCAAGGCCATCTGGATGATGGTTGCCTACCATTACAAAGTACATCTCTCATTTTTGATGTTGGTGACTGAGGGTTTTTGGTATCTGGATAAAAGAAACATTTTGTCTTTCTGAGGTCAGTATTAACAAAGTGATTTATGCATTTCTTACAGAAGTGAGAAGCCATTAATTTATTCTTGTGATTAGTTTTTCATTTATGTTTTCCTTATGAACATGAATGTCAACAGCATGATCTCCATGAAACTTAGTGTAAGGTGATGAATAAAATTTAAAAACAATGCAAGGTATTTTGGCTGTACAAAAATGATTTAAGTGTTACAGATAGTCCTGGAATGTTTTGTAGTAAATCTTTTCTTCTGACTCTTAATTGTAACAACAAAGACTCCTTCTTGTAGAGTTTAGACTGAAAGTCTTAATTTCAGAATAGTATACTATTAAATGTCAAGCAGCTCATTTCAGCTACAGTAGCAATTATTTTGAATGAGCCCTGATGACTGTGTTCCAGAATATATAGTATACAATATCTAAATAGTAATCTCAGTGTGTTGATGACTGTATATTTATAATTATGAATATATATAGGAACAAGCAGAGGTTAATTTAAATGAAAAATAAAAATGAAATACACGTTTTATTGAAGTCTTGGTTCACGTATAAACTTCAATGATCCATGGTCAAAACATCGTTTTTACTCATATATTTATTTATACTTTATAGAATTGATTAATTTTACTTGTTTTTTAAATAAAACTGTGTGCTAATACAACTCCCCACTCAAAATTCATGTCCCCCTATGTAAATATTTATATATGTTTTTTTATGTTTGTGTTAACCATGATGTTCTAAGTCAATCTGTTGGGCATTCAATTATTTTAAGTGTTAATTATTAATAAAACTATAGATGAATACAAGTCTGTTGCTTACAGCCCCTGTACCTTTTAAGAGGGCTGTCAGTGCCTGTCTTTCTCCTTGAGAGGTCAGTATTGTGCTTTATGGAAATCTTAGTGATGTAGACAATCTAATACAGTGTGTAAAATGTCCTAATGTATTTATGTAAAAGAAAGTGTTGCCTGTAGGCTTTCCTCCATTTACGTGTGCAAACACTTAAGCACCCACACATACTTTTTTTCCAGCTCTCTAAAAAGCAGTACTTAATTACCACCATGGATGAAGGAAGACCTTTGTACAAGAAACAGCTAATATTAAGGGTTGAGTTTGGTCATATATTATAGAAAGACATTTTCTTTGGATTAAGTGCTTTTTGCTGTTTCTGTATATCAGTTTTGGTGCAAATAGACAATGTTGTTTTTGTTTTTGAAAGGTTGTTAAACAATTGTATGTGTGGTTCCCTGGCTACTCATCCAGATATATACTGTGTAACTGTTGTTTCCTGGCATAGGCTCCGGCTTCCCTGCGACACTACACTGGATAAACCAGTTAGAAAGTGAATGGTTGAATGGATTGATTTGATTTAATAATGATCTTGAAGTCTATGTTCATTTTACTACTAAATCGCAATATAAATGTATACAGAGTATAACCTCTAGTTAGATTCAATAGCTTCTGTCATTAATAATCAATTATATTTGTGGTTTAATTTATATATTAAATATTATTCTAGAAAGCTGGCACTTCTTAAATATGTACAGTATAGTTAATGTAATAAAGGGGCTGTATTTGTCATGTTCTTTAGCCTGCAAGTAAATATGTAATACATAGAAATGTGGATTTTGCCCACACTGGTACTGATTCAGACATGTATTTACATAACTGTCTTTTATTTTAAACTAGGTAATTGGAAAAGATGACGTTGCTGTCCCCACACACCTCTACAAAGTCATCCTTGTACAAAGAAAGCAGTCATCCTCTGAACCTCTTGCTCTGGGGGCCTTTGTGGCGCCAAACAAGCCAATAAGTTTTGACCATCCTCTGACAGAGTACCAGGTCAGTCTGCAATACCTGGAGAAGATGTCAGGTCTTACTTTCTTCCCAAAGTTGGACAAAACGCAGCCTGTTCAGAACCTCTGTGATGCAGATACTTGCAAGCTGATGGATTTCCAGGAATTCACACTTTATATCACAGGCCGCAAGGTGTCCAGTGCCAGGACTCAGCCCAAACTGGAGAAGATAATGTCCGAATTGAAGGAGTCTGGAATTGAACCTGATGACTATCTGCTCAGGCTGTATGAGGAGAAAAAGAAAGAATTAAGTTCTAAGGCGGTACTGGAGAGGAAGTCAGGATAATTACACCTGCCCTGCAGTTGAAAGGAGGGACTTGGAAGGAGGTTACAATTACTTATTATGTCAACATCATGAACATGCAGAGCGTGTTCATCAATTTTTTAAGTATGGAAAATATATGATTTAAAAGCTTTGACCTGCTCTTTTTGCCCTTTGATTGTCACATTGCAACACTTATGTAAATTGATCTTTACAGCAGTATCAGTACTGTTTTGATGCATTGTTGACTTATCTCTGGAAGAGGTACTTCAGCACTTGTAGCATCTTTATTTCTTCTTTTAAGTTTTTTTTTTGTGTGTTTGTTCTCCAAATATGTATGAGCTTACCATTTTGTTTACTGCCTACAGGCCTCTTGAGAGTGAAGTATTTCTATTTTTTTGCTGTACTGGGCTGTTTATTAAATCCACTGAATTGCTTATGCACATGTAGCTAGATGTATTCCATCTCTCTGTAGTGCAGAGTGGGAGAACCTGACAATTGACATTTGCTCTGAAAATAAAAAAACTCAAATTAAATAGAAATTTGGACAATAACATTGGCCTTTTCAGCCATGAGAGGAGACCAATAAATTGCTACTCCTTTTTTTAGAAACAAATTGTGATTTATTGTAATATATCACTTTTAGAATCCTCTGTAATTTCTTTGGGTACAGCACAGACTCTCTGTTTTTTTCACATATAAAGTATATTGACTTTAATTTTTCCCTTCTGGTTGGGTTTGTTTTGCTCATTGGTCATTTGCAAGTGTTTACATCTTGTCTTCTCTAAGAACACCCCCATGCAAGACAAGACTGTTCAACTGAATAGTGCTTCTTCTGTGTTCAATACTATCATTTTAGGACAGTGAAAGTGGAACATAGTCACATCTCTGAGCTCGGTTTAATAGGTTTATAGATTAAGATCTTTATTCTTCTCCTCTGTATTTATCACTAGTCCATAATGGTGGAACATATGTTTTCATATGTTTTCCAGTTAACTGTTTCAGATAAATGTTATCTCGTGGATGAGCTATGGTTAGAGGCATATTAGAACTCAAGCTTGCAGGTTTTCACAGATGATGAAGTACTCTATACAGTCATTCTTAATATTTAAAAAAGGCTTTATTCTGATTTAAGAAAAGTAATCCCAAAAAAGTTGCTCCAGTTTTCATCAGCATTATACCTGCTATGTTATGTTTTTGCCAATTCTAAAAATTAAAAGTAAAAAGGTCTATTTTGTTGCAGTCCTCCATATGCTGTTTTTAAAAGGAAGTTAACTTGGGAAATGATCCAGATAGTTGTCATTAGGTACAAGTCTAAGCTAATTAAGTTTGACATACATAAGTGGAATGTAATAGCTTGTGTGATAACGCCTCATACCTAAACATTTAGTAGTTTTGTATGCAAATTGCTCTTTAAAACATTAATTCATTTACCTCAAAAGAATGTCGACTAAATAAGCATTCATCCCGTATATTTTATCTTTGTAAATTAACATCATACAACAACATATTTGTTGTTTTTTAAATATTTTCAAGGTTGAAAGTGATAAAACTGATTTGGTCACACACTAATGCATTTTGCATATTCTTAAATTATCCTTTTTATATTTTGAGTGCTTGTAAAATATTTGTAATCTCTTGTCAACTTAATGTTTCTTTACTTCGTTATGAAATAATTATGTTCTATTACAAGGATCTTTCCTGTACCTTTGTGTAGGTTATAGATAAGAGGAATTAATTTCTGCTTTCCTTTTGAAAATTTCTTTTGCAAAATCACTGGTGAGCACCCCCATCCTCAAAAGTCTCACTGTAGTTTATGGTGATTTCAAGAAACCTAATTAGGACTCCCTGTTAAAAAACTGATCCTGGCAGACAGATTTGTAACCAGTGTTTAAAGAAACAAGATCTGCTGATATTAGGGTATAGGACATAAAGCAAATTTACCTGAAATGTGCATGATATAAAATAGGTAATGTAACTTCTGTGAGTCATTAAGAATAAACATTTCCTCCAAATTAATAGTAAATTAGCTTGCAACCAAATGAGCTACGTGGGCTAAATGATTGCCTCTTGTTGGTAACCTAATTATAGGAACATGAAGGTATAAATGCTCTAGTTTCTGAAGCCAATTGTTTAGGCCAGCCATCTTCTTTTATGTGTCACAACATAACAGCAGAGTGGACGAAGGGCCAGAAATCAAACGAAAATTAGTTTTGTACACTAACTGCAGAATAAATACTGAAGGAGATCAAAATTCAAAATATGTATTGTAGGTTTATCTTTGTGGCAATTTATATTCTAGCCTGTAGTGTTCCACAATTCTCATACCCGATTAAGTTTTTGGGCCTCACTGTGCTTGAAATTCTTACAGCGTGAGTCTTGTTATAGTGCTGTGTATGCACAAGCATCCCATAAAACCCTTCTCCCCCACAATCAGTGGTAACCCCCTCCGACTTTCTATTAAAGTTGGACAGCTATGATAGAAGGGCCGTGGAAAAAGGATTTGGTCGCATCAGCTGCATATGAACAATTCCAAGACGGGAGCCAATGATCCCAGGGTAGGAGATGCAAATTCATAAAGTAGCACCAGCATCTATTTAGTCACAATTAGACCATCCAAGCAGATGTGTTTCTGCTGCTAGGAGAGGTCAAGACTGGGTTAAAAAAACAGTATCTGTATCTTGAAGGCCATAAGTGTGATAACGTCATGAAACCAAACTTAAAAAGGAACAAGTAATAGGTTTATTCCCTGCTGAAAAGAGAAGAAAGGAAACAACGTTTCGGCTGATGCAGCTACCCACTTGAAATGTTAAAGATAAAAATGTAATGGGTTCAGAATATTGCAATTTACATTTACGTGTATATAATTAATTTGATTACGATGCAGTCATGTCTCTAGTTTGATTGGCCTAGGAGTCGTACTGTAACACTTTCAGGGAAAGGTTCACACCTACAGCTGCTCGTCCGGTTTCTCAGCACATTTAAAACCAGTATTCATGGTCTTTCCAATATTATTACCTAAACCTCAGTTGCAGAACTATAAACAGTTTACTTTGCCTGGGAGAGATGACCTTGCTTTGCGACGATGGAACAATCATTCATTCTCTCCAGATTATCTCAAACAGATATGGCCTCTATCAACGTGATATCTTTAGTGGGTGAATTGAGTTAGTGCAGCCTTTTCCTTTCCAGCTTTCGCTAGGGTGGTTTAGACTTGGTAGGAAGTGTACGTGTAATAATGTTAGCTAATTAGATCCAACCACAAAATTACATGGTCATCTGCCATCTTTTATTGGGAATTTTGTTGATAATGTTAACTGAATAGCCAATTAACTGTAGTAATCATCCTCTGCAGAGAGCAGTATGTCACTCCCATTGTACTGCTTTATTGTGTTAGATTTCTGTGATGTGGGTTAATTAAGGAGATTCAGGTAGTTTATTGTGCAGATTAGTTTCTGTTGTGGTGTTTCAGTCTAATTGTATTAGGACTTTCCAAACTTAGAGCATATAAACATTGACAGTGGCAACAAACCGGATACCAGCATCCGAATTGAGTGATTCCATACAAGGAACTGTTATGTTTGGTAGGAGGAAAACTATGGATGCCCTTGGTACCATTATTGTCGACTGTGGAAAGGAAGCTTGGAAAGAACAGGGTAGCAATATCTAAGTTTTTTCTTGTTTTCCTGTAAGACTTTCAATTAATTTTAATTAACAGACATTAAAGACCATGTCTTGTTAGGGTTAGGACAGGTTGTTTTCTTTTTCTTATGACAGACACAGACCACGCCATCTGTGTTTCCTCATTGCCTCTATTGATGCTGTAAAGTGGGAATAAGCACTTGGGGGGAAATGGCAAGACAGTGAACTAAGGAAACTAACAAGAAAAAGCTTAATTTTGCTCTTACCTCTAATGTGTTAATCTGGGATTTTGTACAGAGGTTGCTCTGATCATGTAGCACAGAGGAGTACTTTTACTTGGTCATGCCCTTGGTAGCATTCTCATTACTCTGTTGGCATAAACAAGAGGATTTTGGTTAGTTTGTCATCAGTATGATGCTGAGGGTGAGAATGTTTGGACCGTCCCCATCTGGATTTTGTTTATTTTGACTACCTTATTTGTGGGGGTTAGTATTTATTCAGGAAGGAGTTAAATATAAATTAAAGGGTTTCTAGAGTTGCACGTTTGAAGTCTGGTTCAAGAGTTGGGTTTAGGGCTGGGACTAGATGCAAAATCCCTTTATTAGAGGAATTTTATCAAGACGGAGAAAGAAGGAGAAAAACATACAGTTTTAGAAGACAGATATATGTCCCTATAGGTGCCTCCCTGTCCTTAGGGATAATTTTATCTAATTTTCCCTCCGAAATCTGTGTCTAGACACGGTGGCCCTGAAGTGTGAACTCCTGAAATCCTAAGTGCCATATTTTTTATCCTTGATGAAAGAGTGTGAACTTATTATTTTATTTTCCAGGCTGTGAAGAGTGGACAGGTGACCGTGGGACAGCTCCATAATAATATCAGAGATTTAAATTCTGGTATAGTCAGTAAATTAGTCAAGTTCACAGATAATGAACTTGTGTTTATTATTAGATAAACAAATGTGTTTATTAAGCATTAGTTTAGTTACAGTACAATCATTACATGTTTAGCATGCCTACACCTCCAAATCTACCTTTTCAGTTGTGTATCCTTGACTAGAGATAATCCATAGTTGGGGCAGGCAGTATAACTTCACACCCCATGTTGACACAGAACTACAAAAGCAGGTAGAATACAGGGAGGAAGGAACTAATCCAAAATGCACATTCACAACATGGATGATTGGACACTTATTAATTAACAATAGTTAATAGTTAACAAAAGTTTAGTGGCAAGTATGTGCTTTAGTGTTATCATGCAAGACGAGAAAAAATGATTTTGCCTCCTGAACCATTGTTTTGTTTAATTGCTTTGTTCTGTTGACAGGGGACTTTGAAAAAGCTCCTTCCTAGACAGTGCGCTCATGCGTCAGGAATTAAAATTCTTTCCATTTTCGTTGGGCTTACACAGCTTTTTATTATGGATTTTGTCCTTATTCACAGTTCATGTAGCATTAAGGGTCAATAATCTCTTGTGCTTGCATCAGAATGCAGAAATTTGGGTGGGTAGAAAGGGCACCTGGTTTCTATGCCAGTTTTGCTTAGGGATCAGGTTTATCTGTCTCAACATCTGCCAATTGTTCTGTCTGTGATGTCTTCACTCCTTATTTTCTCCTAAGACCTCGATAAGAACCAGCTGAATTGTACACGTCAAACAACGAATCTTACAAATACATGCAAAATTAGCTGGATACATAAAGGCCACGTCTTCTTTTATTGGAATCAGACCTGCTTTTGGGCAAAGTATATCCTGACATATTACGAGTTCAAGGCATTGATTTTACTTATGAAAGACAAAGAAATGCATAATAATTAATAAAAAAACTGATTTTTAGGCATTTCACTTGTTTGAATATTAGCAATTGCTTCTCTGCTATGCATGGGCAGATTTCCCTTTGCATAACCCAATATGTACTGTGTTATCAGTAATCTTGCACCTTTTGAAGAAAGCATACAAATTATTCTAACAGGTTAATTTCAATCTCTAAAACTGTAATGTCTTTCATCTTTTGCTGGTATTGCACAGTACAATTCAGATGTCATTAACTTACTGTAGGAATTATACAACTACCCTTAAGA